TAATAATAATAATAATAATAATAATAATAGTAATAATAATAATAATAATAGTAATCATCATTATTTTCATTGTTACTAATAATTAATAATTAGCAACCAATAATATAGTACAAAATATTGAGTCAATAGTGCGAAATAGAATCAAGTTATCCGATAAATTTAATTTATCAGGAGGTGGACTTGAGTTTAAGCTTAGTGGACCTTAGGGTCATAGTGGACTTCTTCCTCAACCATTATGGATTAGTAAGTTTTATTACTATGCTTTGAAAATATTTTTGAGAATATGAGGAAATGAACAGAATAAATGTGATGGTAAAGTATTGTAAATGGAAAAACAAATGGTACATTTTGAAATAGTACCTGTGGTAGTTCGAACAATTCGATTTAACGTCTGATAGCCAAGAATTTGAAATTGTGGTACATCAACTTTTTCCACGCCAAATATAGCATCTGGTTGATTCCAACGCATCAGAACTTCTGATGTTGTATATCCATCTAAGAAAAGTTGAAATTTGTTGTTAATTAGAAGACTTTACTTTCAGGGAAGTATTTTCGAGCTCATATCACTTCATATAATTAGCATTAGCATTAAGATTTAGTGTTTAACAAACTACTTTATGATTGAGATTTTAAAAGAAATTAAGGTCATCTCTTTTTTTTTGTTGGTTAAGGCTGCAAAAATTAATGACAATATTTATCTTTTTAAATTTCAACTCTTTTCTTGTCAACCTTTTTGACAGTATTTCATCTTAAAAATATATATTTTAAATAACCTACAACTTTCGATTTCCACTGTACAATTTTGATTATCCAATGGATAATTCCTTAAATTCATATGACATGCAAGAGTTGTCGTAAATCTACAAATTGAATTTTTTTAGTTATTCATGGAAAACTTCGAACAAATATCTACTGGTCGATAATCATCCATTCGATGTATGTGTATGTGTGTGTATGTGTGTGTGTGTGTGTGTGTGTGCGTGTATGTATGTATGTATGTCTTTATGTGGTATTTTAATGAATGTATCATTTTAGTATCTTGTCATATGCGATAGTCATATGTAAACAATCATATGCGACACATTTCGCATTTCCTGTCTTGAATTTGTTCTTGTTCTATTATTCTCTCTATGACGAAAGAAGATGACAATAGACCGGAGAGATGGATTGATCCGATAAGAATAAAATCAGAGAGTGAAATTTCCAATCAAATTTCCAGTCACAATAGTAAAATTAATGAATAATTGAATAAATACAATAAATCTCAAAACATTCACATACATTTAACACATGTCACTACAATATCACTTTTCTTAATTTTTAAATTTTAAATTTCATTTACTAAGCCATTGTCACTTAGAATAAACTTCATCGTACAGTATTCACCATTTAAAGTACAGTATGCTACAAATACATGGTTGTTTAGTGAATTATTTCAGTGACTGTAGCACTGTGCGCAAAAATATGCATTTTTGAAGTGAAACATTGGAATGTTAAGAAGACGATACGATAAGTAATTATTATGGAATAAGATGAAGTTATTAACCTCATCCCATAGGTAATTTGTCCATCATATTCAATTCGGATCATTTTATTCTTTTCCGTGACATCATGTAGAAATGATTGCTTGTCATTTGCTAGGAATGTATCTGGTACCCAAATATGCCTTAAAAAAGAGAAAAATCAATGGATGTTTTGAAAAATTCTTAAAGAATGAACCATTCCAAACGTTTGTCCTACCTATCATCATAAATTCCATATTCTTAGTTCTTTTAGGATTTTTGAAAAATTTCGAAATTCCAAGAAAACTACAAAGAACTTCCAATGAATAATGATCAAAGATTGGAAAATTAACAAAATATTTTAACTTCAGATTTAAAAAAAAAAAGAAGAAACTATATGGATTCAGAAGATTACTAAGAGCTTCTTCACTCAATGAGCTTGCATGAATTCAGCTTATTTCAAAAATTTCAGAAAATTACTGGGAAAAATCCCCGGAAAGAGTCATGTCATTGATATGAAAATGTTGTGACCAGGAGAGCCGTTCATCACGCCAGTATTGATGTAAATACATTGTTATTGTATAGTCCTGAAAGTTAAAATACACCAAAGTCAGATTCAAATTTGAATTTTAATTCTTCTGAAATTATCGTAGCGCAAAATTGATATTATTTCAAATAAAGTGGCTTACTGTCAGTGTTTCACTTCATAAATTTATTTATCTGATGAAGTAAAATTTTCAACAACAATGTTTGATTTATGATTGAAATGTCTTTGGCAAGGAACGATTAAATTCCTAAATCTATGAAAATAATAATTAGGATTAATTATGATAAGGAAATTAAGTAAAAAAATTAAATCCATTGAAAGTTTTCTTATTTGGCGAGCTAAAAAAAGGTGACGGTTAATTTCATAAACCTCGGATTTTACTTCACTTTTTTTAAAAGTTTTGAATTTACCATATTCACTTCCGAGATTGCATCAATTGAATCAATAGTAATATCCAATGTCAATAGCAAAGCATCACCTGAGACAGTAAAGATTGAATTAATTTTCCAAGAAGAAATTTTTTCTTTTCTATTTCTTGAGAATATTTCTTGGGAATATTTTCTGGAAGAAATTCCCGCTTATTTTAATATCCATGTTCTTTTATTTAGTACATTCATCTGGGAAAAAAATTTTAAACGCATTTAATTTTTGATTTAAATTTAAACAAATTTAATTTGCTATTCACTTCATTTTAAACCTCTTCAGTTCATTTATAATCACTAAAATTTCAATTATACTATTTACTCGATTCTGGAGAATCTGTTTCGGTTTGGTCACTTCATTTTAATCATGAATGGACTGGTCAGCAATACCAATAACATCTCATTGCTACAGGCAAATTCGATAGACGGATTGATGTATTAAAATAAAAAAAAAAAAAAAAAAAAACGAAATATGAAGTAAAATGAAATTGATGAACTGATAGGGAGTAAATAAAAAAAAAAAAATTAAAAGGAGCCTTATCACTTCTTTTTTTTAATTTAATTTAAGAAATACAATCCGTCTTGTATTGATAAAAAAAAGTGAAGAAATAAAAAGACAAACTTTCTAGGCTGAGTAAACATATCCATGTGACAAATTTTGCGACAACTTCATGACTACGTAATTCGGTTACTTCAGCATTCCTTTTATAAGATGAAATTGGAAAGTACTTATTTAGAATATGGCAAATAATCATTTCTAACCGGAATACTAACCTCCGAAACCGGGTCGTAGCCGTATGTCATAATCACTCAATAGAGCAGCTAACAAAGCCGAAGCATTCTCGTAATATACTGACATACGTGCCAGACTAATGTTTGTCACGGTGATACGTGGACTGTTGGAATTCAGTAGCTCACTCTCACTGGAATCATCAATATATTTAAGCAAACTTTGATAGTTCTAAGAAAAAAATAAATAAATTATTGGCGGATCTCCAAATTTTCAAGTGTGAATTTTAATCTTAAAAAGTTAAAATTAAGTCTTAAAATTGAAAAAAACTCACTCCTTGAAACTTTGTTTTAAAATTACTCATTAAGCTTTTTAAATGCTAAAATATTGAATAAGCTAGTTACTTTGAAGAAACTTGAATAGGTTAGTTTTTAAAGAGACTTTAAAAAAACTTGAATAAGTCGCTTTTAAATAAGTTAGTTACTTTTAAAAAGGAGGCCTTATTTTTTATATCACAGTCTTTTTTTCTTGTTTTTACACCTATCACTATATTGTATTTCATGCCAAAAGACTTAGTTACATAATTTATTGTAAATTATTTTGAATATGTTTCCAGGATAATTTTAGAAGGAATTGGAAAGAAAAGGTAATTAGAACTCAGGTAATATAAACAAGACAGGATTAGCTTATAAAATAATAGCCAAAAAAGAAAAAAAACAAACCTAATAGTGAAGAAAATACTTAATATGCTGAAAATAACAAACAATATCATTGCATCATCCAAATGGAAAACGAATAGTTCTGGTTAACAATTTAATATCTGAAAAATTAGAAATTGAAATATCCACATATATACACAATTTTATTTTTACTCATCCATTGAACTATTACGATAATATGATAATTTTAGATTAACATTTTCAAAACTGAGTTTTTTTTTTTTGAAAAAAGTATAAAATGCGAAAAATTTTCAGGAAATGTTATGAGAAATGTGTTATGATTGATTGTCAACTTGTTTGCTTTGGATTAATATATGACCTCTTCTGTCCTCAGAATCAAAATTTTCTTGTCACAATTGAAATATTTTCTTATCACTTTATTTAAACAAAGAAAAAATTAATGTTGTAAAATTTTTCAACACATTTTTGTTTAATAAAATATTCATTTTGAGAATGAATTTCAAACTCTTAATATGCGATTAACATTAATTTCTTTAAATTTCATTAATTATATGAATAACTCTGTAGTTTGTCATCTTATTGTAGTAACGTGTTTTGATAATATCATATTTAATTTATTTATAATAAAAGTTTTGATAATATCATATTTAATTTATTCATAATAAAATGAAATATTGGGAATAATGGGGTGAACTTTAAGTTGTGAAGAATATTTTCTAGAATAAAATTGATATTTTCAAATATTTGAAAGGTAATTGATAATTTTATTTATCATGATTTTTAATTAATGATAATGGTTTAATTGTTTAATTAACACTTAAGACTTTTTGTGCTTAAAACGCTGATAATTTAGCACAGTGATTTGTTCAGAAAATCAATCAAATAAAACGTACGGAAATGATTTCATAGCCAGTAATAGCATTTGTTAACTTAGCGAAACAAGAAATGCAACTTGCCTAATTGCGCCATGCGCTATGTGACATCTAGTAGTACACTAAAAAATTTATTTTTTAAAAAGAAAGTGGTTAAATTTTGAATTACATTAGAAATGCTCAATATAATAGAGTGTTTATTTCAAAATTTCTATGATATCTTTTGATCCTTATACAGGTATCAATGTCATCATCTTCTCTTCTCGATGACAATTACTTTTATGCTATCCCAAAAACCATTCCATTTAACAACACCTCAATTTCAGTTGCAGATATTGAAATTCATAGGAAGCTAAAATGGATTATTGAAAAAGGCTAAGCGAATAAATAAATAAATGAATGCAAATATTAAATTCACATGAAACGCTAACTTGATGAATAATTTCAATAAATAGAATTTTTTTATTTTCTTATTTTTCTTTTTTTTTTTTTTTTGAAAGATTGTTATTTTTTAACTTATATAAAATCTATAAGGAATTTAGTCAGACAAATAAACTTGAAAATAATTATAGCTTACATTTACTTTTCAATTCAGAGAGCTTAAATGAAATCCGTAATAAAATCCGTTTTCTAAATAAAGCATCAAAGAAGGCTTTCTTTTTTTGCTTAAATTATGAAAAAATCTTAGAGAAGAAGGAAATTAAGAAAAAAAGTTATGTTTCATGAGACAAAAACAGTGGATAATTTCACATTACCAAATTAAAATAGAGGACAATTCTTTGATGGAAAAACATAATTATTAGCATTTTTACTCAAAAAATGCAGGTAAAATAAGACTTTCCATATATTGTAATAAAAAAAAATATTTCAATTTCATCAAAGTATCAGTTATCCATTAATTAATTTGAATTGATTTAGTTACAATTATTGGAATTAAAATGTTAGCCGTATTATGCTCCATTTTTTGAAGCAAAAATTTCAGGCTTATTTATTCTTGGATCATGTCATCAACTTCATAATCATTTTTACACTTCCTCTATATTACATGAATTTTAGTGCTTCATTGGATTTTGAAATATCAGTGCTAAACTATTATGTAAGCCTACTGATAAGCTTGCTGATAAGGATTTTTCAGCATTTATTGCATTCTATAAGAATTTCTCCACCCACGAATTATTATTGTATATGATGGAACAGTTCAGAAAGTATGAAATTTGCTGATAAATATATTACATATTTCTAATTTTGCTCAGAAGAACTTCCGCCATACTGCATTCCATTAACTAGGCCTAGCATAAGGCTTGGCCATGCATAATCAACATTATGCTGGCTATGTAACAGTAATTTGTTAAACGAATCATTTCATCCAATCATTATGGAAAATTAAATCTTATTCTTCTTTTTTTCCCCTCTCCTATTTCGCAATATTTTATTTATATTTTTTTGCTATTTTCACGTATTTACAAATAAAAAGTGATATAATTTTGCAGACACCACAGTGATTCTACCGTGTACTACCGTATTCCACCGTAATTCATTTCGTATTGCATATGGCATTGTTGTAGTTCATAATTTCAAATCTTATTACATTGAGAAATTTCTCATTTTGCTCATTCATATCTATGAAAATTACAGAAATGATTTTTTTTTTTTATAATCTATATCATTGATACAGATGGAAACCATAAATACATTTGAAATATATGGTTTATAAAAGGAGAAATTTTTCGTAGTTATCAGAGTATTTTAAAGTAACAACAATGATTAAAGTGATTAACAATATCACTTGAGAATATCAACTTATTGGAATGTGTGATTAGATAAAACATTTCTAGGAATGCCAAAGATGAGAGATAATTTCTTTTTTTTGAAAGAAGAATTTGAGAAATAATAAAAATTCGATGTAGGGAGGAGGAAACTCGTTTTAAAGTAAAAGCGAAATGATGTATCGTTTCGGAAGTAAAATTAGGAAAGAAGAAACAATGAGGAATAGCCCAGGGACAAGCATTCTTAGGCCCGGAAACAAGTGCTACCTATTTAAGCAATTGTTGATCGATCTACAGAAGAGACGAAGCAACAGAAAGAGGAGAGGAAAAGTATGGAATAAATAGGCAATTTATACTAAATTAAATCATTCTAGCCAAAAAAAAAGATTTTATCCTATAAATAAACTACAAAAATTGGTCATTATATTTGAAAAAATCACTCCTTTTTTTTTCTACTGTTTCATTTTTATTTTATACCAATATCTTATTATAATTTGATATTTTAAATGATAAATTTGGGGTCAATAACATCATCTATGCTCAATATTAGCCAAAATCGAGATTAAGACTTATGGGTTAAAGCATTATTGGCTATGGAATGGTAAAAAATATTAATTTTAATTTATTTCAAATTTAAGGTCAAATTTCCTTTACTACGATGATTTCATTGATCACATTTATCCTCTTCTATACTACAATATTTCAATGTTACAATTCTAAAGGAATAATACAAGAGGATATCTTATCGTATAATACATCACTAATACATAATATCACGCAAGTTCTAGATACTATCCTCCTCAAACAGGATCGTCATTTTAGACCTATCAACGGAGGTTATTAGTTTTTTCTTAATGTTATTCTAATTAATTAAATTTCATTTATAGGAGTGTTAATTAAGATGCAAACAGCAATAATTATTAAATTTTCATTGTGAAATGCTGAAATATTTCATTTTTTTTTTTGAAAGTTAGAGGAAAGTGGAAAAAAACGAAGAATTTGGAAAATTTCTTGTTCATTTTTTGCCTCATTCTATTAAAACGAATAATATTTTCAGATTCAAATGTTCCATTGCAAGTTGAAATTGATATATCTGTACGTAGTATTGGACCAATATCGGAACAAAAAATGGTCAATATCTATGACAAATATTAATTTATAATTAATAAATACCCAGATAATTAATAAATAATTGGTGGTTTTTTCTTCGAATAATTAGTAACTATATTAAATAAGAATTTTTGACTTTAGGAATTTTCGATGGATTGTTATTTTCGGCAAAAATGGTTAGATCGACGATTAGCCTTTGATACATTTGGTAATCGGAATGATTTGCCAATATCAAGCAAAATGCTGAATGATATATGGACACCTGATACGTATCATTTTTAATTTATTTGCATATAAATAAGAAGAAGGAATATTTTTGAATTTCATCTTGTATTAATGGAAAAAAAAGACAAATAAATTTGAGAGTTATTTGAAATTCATTCATTTAAATCTAATATTAAAAGATACAAGAAGTATGACAATTCTTAATATCATTCATTAATTGAACTTTGAATCATTGGTCAATGATAATAATTTTTCTTAATAACTTCTCTTCTTATCCTTTTTCTCTTTCTTTTCTGGCTATAGCTTAGTGATCAGAAATCAAAGTAGAGATCAGAGATCAGCATAGAGACCAGAGATTAGGGTAGTCTATAAATCCTTCTTTTAATAATGATCTAAAGAAGAAATTTTCAATGAAATTTGTTAATTCCAGATATATTCGAAATGGACGACATTCATATTTGCATACTCTAACAGTACCCAATGTCCTCTTTCGAGTTCGTCATGATGGACAAATTCATGTTTCACAAAGGTTCAAAATTTCGCTTCTTTTTCGCTCATTTTCTTCCTTACTTTTACTTATTTTCTTATTTATGAATTTAATTCACTTATTTACTTATTACTTTACTTTATATTTTCAAAATATATAATATACCACCTAAAAATTCCAAACATATCAAGAAGATATTATTGCAAGCCAACGTATTCATTAACTATAAATAAGAAAAAAGAAAAAAAATTTAATTGTTAGCACAGGTAACATTCATCAGCAAATTCTTTTTCCTCATATATCAACAAGTTTTTTTTTTTGTTTTATATCAAATTAGTTAATTAACCTTTAAGGTTTTTTTCCTATTATAAATTGATTAATTTATCACTGTATCAGTTCAATATTTTTGGATTCATTTTTGATTCTATCAATGCTATCTTTTAGATTAACAATCCGAAGTCGATGTAAAATGTTTTTCAAGAAATTTCCAATGGATTGTCAGGTTCGAAGAAAGATCATTTGATCAATGATCATTGGCTTATAATTATGATTAAGTTTTCTGCAAAATTACCTGTATAAAATGATGAAAGTAATGAAATTTAAGGCATGTCCAATTGAAATTGGTAGTTTGGGTTATTTTTCCAAAGATATCGTTTATGTTTGGAAGGATGTGGAATTAGACTCAAAAATGAGCAATATGCTTGCACAATATCAGCTACTTCATGTCATCAAAACGTCACATAATTGGACTGATCCTCATGACAACAAATTAAGTTAGTTAAAATTTTTATTTCTTTATGACTTTTAAATGAATATTGCTCTCCCAAAGAGATGAGAAATCAAAAAATATATACTTAATTAATCCCATAAAAGATTTGATTACATTTAGATCGTCGATACATGCAGAAAACATACAAGAAATCAATAACAAAAGGAAAAAAACTAATTAATCACTAATTAGCTATTGAATAAATCCTCTTAATAGATATATTAAATAAATACTTTTATTTGAATTAGAAAATGTAACAATTATTGCTAAAATAAAGAAGGAAGATGTACTCATCCTAACCTATTTCAGATATATCGGTGCTTAAAGTATATTTTAAGCTTCAACGTCAACAAGGTTTCTATATACTACAAATTTACACTCCTTGTACATTGATCGTTGTCGTATCATGGGTTAGTTTCTGGATCAATAAAGAATCATCACCAGCTCGAGTCTCATTAGGTTAGTTCATAAATCTTATAAAAATTTTGAAAATGATTATTTTCTAATTCGAATAATTCTGAAGCAATCATTTATTAATCATTGATAAGATGATATTGCCAAGTGTGTGTGTGTGTGTGTGTGTATGTGTAGCTGGTCTGTGGGTATGTGTGCGTGTGTCTGTGTGGCTCTAAACATCTAGCATTATTTAAAGTGTTTATATGGTTGGCCAACAGTTTTAGTTAGATAATAGTTATTCCGGCATTGGGAATTTCAGCAGAATTTTAATTAATATATGTTAACAGAAATAATGCATTTTATAAATGATATCGAAGAATGATACATTTTAATTTATTGATTTTAGGCATAATGACAGTACTTTCCGTGTCAACATTGGGCTTCAGTTATCGATCTGATTTGCCAAAAGTTTCGCATTCAACAGCCCTCGATATTTATATTATGTTGGTGATTTTTCATTTATTTATTTTTTTTGTATTTATTTGTTTATTCATTTTTGCAAGAAAGTAAATGACTTTATGATAGACATTAAACTGTGAAGTATAAAATGTAAGTCTTCTCCTAGTTCAGGGATCGGTTTCTGAAATACTTTTCAGTTCGTGTTTCGGATTTGTATTTGCTGCGGTGATCGAATATGCTATTATCAATTATGTAAATAGAACTAATATCCGAAAAAAGTAATATTTTTCCCAAATTATGAGAATTTTGGATTTATAGGTTGGGATACTCCTGAAGCAATGATTTTGTACCGAGTAGTCAAAAATTCCCATGTTATTACTTTTTAGAATTTGATAAATTGAGAGATGGGAATCAAAATCGAAGATTTTCATTTGAGAAGTAGCAGAATTTCGATGTAGAATTGTCGTAATCTTCCGAATCATCGACTCGAAACCAATTTATCGATTGCTTTCCGAGAAATTCAAGTCCTTTACTTCTATCATTTTGCTAATTGTTGTTTGATTAATAAAAAAAAAAAAAAAACCAACCTGCTAGGTATCGAAAATACGCATATCATCAAAGCCACTAATGCCGCCGAGACAAAGAACCAGTCTTCACTGTAAGAAGATGACGCCAGATTCAAAGCTTCAATCAAATCGGAATTTATTCACACCAAAACAACAACATTCAAGTCTGGATTTACCTTTTTACTTTTATCCATTAACACTTGGTGATACTTTTACATTTAAAGATTGATCATACCTACCTATCTACTTATACCAGACTAATTTAAATTTCAACTTAACAAATAAATTTTCCGGATAAGAATTCAAATTAATGACAAATTATTAGACACCAGTAAATCCAAAAATGAGAAAATTTTAATTTCAGTGTTCCATCGAATTGCAGCAGAAGCAAGTGAAAAAGTGAAAATAAAAAACCCAACGAACGTAGTTAGTCGAATAGATTCCGCTGCCAAAATTGCTTTTCCATCGCTCTACATCTTATTCAATGTTATCTATTGGCTAGCTTTCCTTTACTGGATTCCCGATGAAATAAACACTCTTATTTAGTCGGTAACTGAAAACTAATTATTACAGCACATGTCAAGTCTCTTTGTTGTAACCAGTATTCAGTATTCACAAAAATGTGGTAACATACAGTGGTGTATTCAATAAAAAATAATAAAAAGAAGTTGTTTTATCATGTTTAAAAGTAAAGACAGCAGCAAAAACAACAAATAAAGCACAAAAGTGAATCAATGCGCAATTTATGTGAAACGTCTCCTTTTCCGGCCAGTATATTTTGAAGATATGCAAACCTCTCTGAAATACGAAAATCCCTGAACAACGCTTTCAATTTTAAATGAATTGCAATAATTAGAAAGAAAAATTTAAATCATGTGACTCGTACAACTCCTACAGAATTATAGGTCTATAATCAGAAAAACCAAATAATAAGAAACATACTTTCCGTGCTTTCGGGCACGATCCTTTTTAGCTTCTATCCATTCTCTCGAACGTTTCAGCAATTTTCGCCTGCCTCGTTTGTCACTTTTCCATGATCTAAAGAAATATAGCAGTATTCTTCATTCGGTCTCTGCAGCAAATTCCAAAATAAGTTCCCAAATTACCTTCTTCCTGTGTTCGAAACTTGATCCCTTTCTTGCTCTTCAATTAATGCTTTTGGCAGATGTTGCATACCACCAACCATTAACACCAAATAAACTCTGAAAAAAAATTACTCAATCTACTAAGAACTAACAACAGGTGGCAAATGCGAAAAACATGCTGATTTCATCTACGGTGACGTTAATTTTTGATAATAAACGAAAGTAAGAAGTTTTAGCATCAAATTTTAACATTAATTTAACATTAAAGTACTTTTTGGCTTTGGTACTGTTGGGAAAATCAATGACAACACCCCCAGTAAAGCCTGCTTTTGTTGCATGCGTTGTTATAAGTTCAGTCTGGCTAACAGTTTCCGGATAAAACTGGAATACGGCACGGGTTCCTCGACCCTGAAATGCTCTTTACCACCTTGGAATGTTATTTAATCTAAGGTCAAATATATGGATGATGTAATGAAGTTTCACATGCATTTTCGCTGTACAAGAATATGGATAAAAGGGAAATGCAGATAGGAAGGAAGCAGTTCCATTAAATCTTTACCATGCAAGCATATAATGACTGGAAGAAGTGAAGTAGTCGTTTTTGTGGGCTCTGTTCTCGGTTATTTGCATGACAAAGCCATTGAATTGCAGATATACTGAAAAAATTAAACATTTCAAGTATTACACTTGGTTAATTAAGTTTTGTAATGAATCCCAAGCAAATAAATTGATTTTGTTAAATGTCGTCAAAATGCATAGCCGTTACTTACCTTATTGCACCGTCAAATGTACCTGGCCGAAAAGGTAAACCATCACCTATATCTTTCAATATAACATCACCGTCGATCTCTCGATCATCAATGGCAACTTCTAAAATCATACTGAAGCTGCAAGTTATGATGCCAGAATAAAGATTAAACACTGAAACAAAAAAACAAAGTTTATAGCTTGTATTGCTAACGAATGGATCCTTAGCCGAAAGTCATTACTATTTGCTGCGACTAGCAAAATACCCTAGACTAATATCACAAAAGCCCAGGCATGATTAACCATCTCAATTAACACTTCTTGTAAATTACAGATTGATAGTAAACATTAACGTCCCAATTCATCTAAATTTAGAACTGGAACAAAAGCCACCACTCAAACAGCTCCCTCATCAAACATCAAAACTGTTAACTTGACAACTTCACCATTCAACAAATTCGATTTATTCACTTTATCGGATGAAACACTTCATATGAAATAAATTCAGAACCCACTTAACATCGCTTCGCTAATATCCACACCAATCCAATTATGACCCTTTTCTGTTATAACTTCTCCACTCAATCCGGAACCACATCCAACATCTAGCAATAACCTCGATACGTCATCATCCGGAAGAGCAAGCAATTCGATGGCTCGTTCCGCCATATGTCTTTGAATTTCGACAATATGTGAGCTGAAAATTTTTGATATTAAAATGACAAACGTGATTAGTGAAAAAAATACAGTGTTGACATATAATTAAACAATGTGCACAAAAGTTTCAATTAAGAAGGAAAGTGATAAACTTACTTCTCTGAGTATTTGGCAGCTTGAACATCGTTGTAATACTGAAAAAGTAAGAAGTAACAAGAATATTGCACCTTAATCCTCTTAAATAATTGATTTCTTCGAAATGTCATTTGAATTTCGAAATAAACTTGCCCTCCTCTACACCCTATATAAAGTCTCATTGCCATTTCAAAAACTGTCAACGAATTCATTACAACTGATCGCTCGTTAAAAAGAAGAAAAAAAAACTATCTAAAAAAATTCTAACAAACCAATTCCGGTGGACCAGTAAATTCTGGACGAGACATATGGTACGGTGTATTTTGCCTTCTTAAATTCTAACAGTTACTCTCGTGATGCGTATATTCAGTTTATCAGCAAACAACAAAGTATGACACATAAACCTGAATGTTTGATGTCAGTCTGAAAAATTTTTCCAGTTAACCTGAAAGCTTCTTTGAACTATGCGACATTTACTGCTTACGGTAAATAAAAATCGGTTAGCACATAGTGGAACATATTGCTTATGGTAAATAAAAACCGTTTATCACGCAGTGGAACAAAGATGGATATGTGGATCCAATTCGTTGCATAATCAGTCACTCCGTTTGATGTGTTGGTCCGTTAGAGGTAATTGCTTAGGTAATGACCTGAGGTTGTTGCAGTGTCAGTCAATTTGATCGGTAGTTCAGGTGAGGAACGGCGGTGGGGTAGAAGAACACTTCAGTTCTACAGATGGAATTTTGTACGCTCAGTGGGCTGTATAAAATTGCCTAAAACAAATTCTCTATACGATACTTCTATATATTCTTCATACTATTCAGATTACATCTCCTTCCTTTTCTTTTTCCTCTCTCTCTCTCTCTCTCTCTCAAGCAGTAGTGTATTGAACAGTTTGGTATTTCCCGGGAAATTTTCATGTTACACGATGTGGAATTAACAGCATCATGGAGCAAAATCAAACTTAAAGTCGATATACATTGGCTTGATATGCGGAATTGTTTTGAGGACAATTTGTCATTTTTATTCCAGTAATTGCTGTTGGAAAATTCAATGTTGTCATTTCAGTCTATTCATTATATTGTGTTGGAATTGAACGTTGAACGATTATCGGTCAGTAAGCAGGAAAACGATCATTGTGTAGGCGATGTCCGATTGGGACAATTTGGATAAATTGATAGAAGTAGATTCTATTCCAATCAAAAAAGCTGCTGCATCCAAAATAGCAAGCAGTCTTGAAGAGGAAAACATCGTTTTTACAAAAGAGAGTGATGGTAGTGATGTGAGTGTTTTTCGGTCTTGATTATGGTGATAATCATAATTGCATTTTGATTAGGTACTCTAATACAGTATTTTTAATATTTATTTCAACTTGATTTTTCTTCATTCCTTATTTTCAGATCGAAGATGGAATGTCTACATCAATTTCAAGCAAAAACGATCTCCAATCCGAGAGTGAGGATGAGGAAGCTGGCGATATTGTCATTGCTAATAATTTCACTATAGGTGATGTGAACCTAGTTGAAGTAAGATACATTGAAAACTTATCTGTTCATTAGATTTCTACAATTTCTAAAATCCATTCATGTAGGTTTTCTAAAGTCAGATTGATTACGAAATTATTCAAGTTGAGTCTTAAGTCGAGACGATCGGATGCGTTTATAGCAAGGCTTCTTTGTTTGCGAATAGAATTGGATTCACATATTCCGCCTAGAAAAAGGCTGGATAATTGTTTGTTTTTTCATAAAGGGTTTACTTTGTAGATTTTAAATCGTTTCAATTCGAAATATGATAATATAATCTCCGAATTTGCGGATGTGGAAATATTTTTGATATCGCTGGACGGATTATTAATCGAACTTACAGCACACAGTTATTTGAATTGGACGCTGGGTGGACAGACTATCGTTATCGCAAAACAGGTAGAAATTTATAAAATTGCGTTTTATTTCGATGGTTAGGTACAATGGTTAGGTGATCTGGAGTCGAATTAAATTGCTACTACATAATTAGTTGGTGATCTTGAAGCTTTGATAGATATCAGATCAAATATACTTCATGCTATACAGCCACATTCTATCGGAGTAATCGACTGTAAGAGTAATCTAAACAGTATCTAAATTCTGTTGGTATAGATGTAACAAGTTGTTTTTTTCCAGATTGAAATTCTGTTGAAACAGCTTTCAAATCTTGGCGGCAAGTTCAAATTAATTTGGTTCACGGGTTTGTCTGCCACATATGCTAGAGATACGGTGCTCAACTTTCTGCGCAGTTTCGTTGCAGCTTATTTGCTTCAGTCTCAATGGGCAGCGGATATTGAGCATTTTGTCAATCCTAATGACTCGCATTGGTTATCTTACTTGCATGAACTGATGCCTTCATTTTTGGTACACAATAGTTTTTTCTTATTTACCTATGCAACAGAAACTCTTCAACACTTTCAGTAAAAAATCTTTCTCCAGATGATTGGCGTCGATGATGTATCAGAAAATGTAGTAGCAGATACTGAGTTGGATTTCAAACAACTTCTTGCTTCAATAGCGCTTCAAGCGCTTGCTTCGACCATTCCCATCGTGTATTTCAATGGTCTTGTCGTGAATCTCTGTTCAGTTTACAGTCATCGTGTTGAGCCGCATATAGTCGATTTCAAAGGATGGACCGGTTATTTATCCCAACTATGGGCTGATAAAAAAGATGGTTAGAGTAAAACTATTAGTACTACAAATGGTGGTGATTTTATTTTGTTGGTATTTCGATATATGCGAATAATTGTTCTGCATTCAGTTGCCCAGCAAAATGAAGTAATAGAAAAAAAAGTGAAGAACTTAAAGTTGCTAGATTCCGTAGTATTTAGAGGTTTTTATGAGGTACTGGAGTTACTACTTCATCGCAGAATTTTTTTCTTTTTGTTTTTGATTCATTTTCTATTCTGAATTCTTTATTGCATCAGTGTTTATGCAGACATTTTCAGTGGTTCACCGAAATATTAACCAATCAAGTTGCAAGAGTGTTTCACAGTTTTGGGCTCAAATCATTGGAGATTGTAAGAAAAGGTTACCACTTTGTTTTATCTGATGTACTAATCCTATTAGTTATTGCTTTCGTAAATCATAGCGAAAAATGTTTCACTGAGAGTTGTCATGTTAATCTTAATTAGTCGTAGTCTAATTTTTATTGACAAATCCCTGGTTGCTCACTTTATTCGTGGATACAAGTAAGACAGTTGATTCTCCATTGCTTAGAACTTATATCACAATATACTTAAATATATTTTGAAAACACCAGAAATTGTCTTCTCGCAGACAACATTCTGAAAATGGGATTTATATTTTATAGTGGTAAATTACCGAAAGAATCTGATGCGCTGACATCTGCTGTGCTTATTTCTTCACTGATTTGCGAACGTCGTGGAACAGAACGTCGTTATTTTGAGGAAAGTAAGGATTCGAAAAGACGCATCGATTTGATCAAATTCAGAAGAACACTGCTCAATTCCTGTTCATCTTTATTGGATGGACTTAATTTAAAGGTATAGTTTCTATTTTACGAATTCCTTTTGGCAAGTTTCGGTGTATTTTGTTTGAAAACTGAAAGTACTACAATGGCTCATACTAACAAAAAGTTGAAGTGGAGTTTAATTCTTCATTCGATTCGTCCTCATGTTAACTTAAGTTTGTTATTATCCGCTTCAGGAAGATTATAAAGTTTATTGTATAAATTTTATAGCAGCACCCGTTGTCCTTCTCACTGATCGACCTTTGGGATGGCCTTTTGATAACAAGAATATATGATGCCATAAATTCAGGTGTAAAAGTAAGTTTTGCCTATTATTGTTATATTTTGGAATTAACTAAATACACATGAAATTCTCTACTGATGTGATAGTTGGATACTGAACACATCCTAAAACCAATATCAACCATTTATCAATTTGTTTGCTGATTGTTTAACTACAAGCGATCCATTGGTAAGATTCAATATCTTGAAAAATTTCAAAAGTTTTGTTTTTTTGGTGTTTTCATTTACATATATTATTTACAGGTTCTACCTTATCGTCTTCAGCAGGAATTAGCTCCTCTCCATAAAACAGCATGTCTGGAGCTTTCTCTTGAAGTTGATGTAGACGATGCATTATTTGATTCGGCTATAAAAGAAATGGATTATAAGAAACCTGCACTTCTTCCTGTCAATTCTCTATTGCTGAATCAGTATACTAAGGAAATGCTAAGCGCTTTTCAGGATTATGGCACAGAAACGGTAGGAATAATTTGTTATTAAGCTAAACAAATTTTTCTTTTGTTTTTAATATTTTACTACTCCTTTTCCTTTACGCTTAAAAATTTCACGTTTTATAAACACAGAAGTTCTTTGAGTAACTAGATGTTTGGACTTCCGGAGTATCACTTATAATTTGTTGCACTTGATTTGCTTGTTCGATTTCTAGGCTCATTTGATTGGGCGTCCTTTTACAGCTGTCTTAATTAATGCTTTGTTGAAGGAACCATCTGTTTTCGAAGAATTTTTGCTACGTGTTAAATGGCGCCTTGATACTATCGAAGAGCCTTATACTAAAGCCGAAGAACGAATTGATAATGCTTACCAGATAAAAAAGCAAAACAAAGATAGACAAAAGCTTGGCAAATGGTTAAAATTGTTACTTCCTATAGAATAATACAATTTGCTAATTTGCGTGAACATCTAGTGGACTTTTATTGGATTTTGATTTGTAACTATCTGCAGGTACGAATTCTTCGCAGAGTCGCTCGAAGGACGTGGAACTGGTTTGCTAGTTGATTTTTCACGTACGCCACGTGGATTTACTTCGAAACTTAGTGAACAAACTGATAAAAAAAGGAGAAACAACAATGGCAACCAAAAGGCAAGGGAAACGGTATGAAAACACCTTTTTAGACTCTTTATGTTTCATTATCCAGCTGTTGTGACTCAAAGTTCACGGTTCATTATTAATTCTCTGGCGTCAAAATAGTTCTGTTCATGCTTACCGTAAGTTTTGCTGTGATTCTCTGATAACTTGTTTTGAAAAGATGAACTTTATGACAACTTCATTTTGTGGTTTCACACTGTTTGGCTGTTGGAGTAATAGCACTTTGTTCGAGAGTCACTGGAGAAAACTAAATGAAATAAACTTGGTAAATATTATATCCGCTAGAAACTTTTTTACACTTTTGTTTGTGAAAAATGCATTTCCAGTGCTTCTTCGAGCCAGGTTTATATTTAGGAGTTTAGATTTTGGAACTGTTTAATATCACTTGATCAAACAGATTCAATAAAATACCGGAACTGTAAAACAATTTTATAAGATATAACATGTGCAAAAGTCTGCAAAAAAATGACAGAATTTGAAAGTGTCGGGAAGTCAGTAACATGAGTAAGCTTAACTATATATGTTGTCATTTTCATGAAGCTTTTTCAGGGCCAAAAGGTAAAGGAGCTGTTAAATCAAAAAAAGAATTAATTTTGGAAGCTAATCGAAATAAGAAGAATGAAAAACTTGCGGAAGATGAAAAACAAATGGTTCGATTTGCAGTGCAACAGGGGAAGAATGTAAGTTAGTAGATAGAAGATGGGAATGACAGCTACAACAATGACGAGCTGCCATGGAAAGGTGGTAGATGGCTGATAGAGTATTGCTTCTTTGACTCAAGCTCTGTTTTGAAATAAAACCTGAATATTTCACGTTGTAATGCGGAGATTTGAAGCATATAGATAATCCAGCATGTGTTTTACCATAACACGGCCGTAAGATAATGCAGGTAGAAAGGGATGTCTTTCTATTTATAATAGATGAGTATTTCGTTATGATCATGTTTCTTTAACTATAGCGAAAGTGGTATACAATCGTATGCAATTTCTGCACCATTGCAATTTAGCAGATTCCAGATTGATTTGCAAAAAAAATTTGACCTTTTTAGGCAATGTTTATTTTGGAAAACTTGATGAACAAGCTCGAACTGGACTCATCTAGAGCGATGTGTACCTACCAACAAGTGCTGCGTATGTCAAATGATTTCAGTTCTTTGGAGGGACAAGATTTCGTAGAGAAAAGAAGGATTCGGGCAGTTCCTATAATCAATAAATTGAAGGATCTTTTTACAGTGTATTGGCAGCATTTGGACGATAAGCAGAAAGAATATGTTTGTGCTTTTTCTGAGCTGTTTGACTTTAGCTAAGACGAGTACTATAATATGGTGACTACTACTTTTTTCGACTTGTTTTTAAGCTTACTGTACAAGTTTAGACCCTTTTTAGTCATACCAAAGTGGTCTGGAGACGGTTGAATTTCTCTTGTTTGTAGTCAGAGGCAGTCTGCATATTTTTTATCTTTTATTTTGAATTTTATGAGACTTTTGGGAGATATATGCTGTCATTTTGCACTAACAGCTTTTCATCATCCTTTTACTGTGGTAGGACTTCAGAGTCAAATTTTAAGGAACGGAGTTATTTAAATGAATTTGCAGAGTTTGTTTAACCGTCTTTCAAGCAATATTCATACTTATCGTAAAAATTATTTTCATGTACTCATTTTGAGGTCACCGATTTATGGATCTCTTTCGGATTTGAAAAAAGCAAGAAACCAACTGCTTTTTCTGAAGCCAGGTTAACGTTGAATATGAACATGATATATTATCAGTTGGCTTACGGTGGTGAAATCATCGATATTCGGTCAGATCCGCGAAAGGACGATCGTGTGACTGGTTTCCAACCAGATGCGTGGCAGAGACGAATGTTGGATGCTGTGGATAAAAGTGAGTTCCATTTCTGAATCTTTATATAGCTGCAAATTAAAATTTTTAACACCAAGCAATAAGAATTAGAGGACAAGCTGTCAAGTTTAAATCTTTAACACTAAACAGTAGGAATTAGAAGATGAGCAGTTTGTTTCAGCATTTTCACATTTATTGTCCAAAATCTGATAACATTGCTGATTTTCAACAGCAATTTGTAACACAGCAGTTTTATCAAAAAATACATGAGTTAGAGAATTAGGGTTACGGTTTAATTCTGAGAGTCAGGATGAGACCCGTACTATAATTTTAAGCATTTAATATTTTAGATCATTCGGCTGTTATAATTGCCCCAACTTCTGCGGGTAAAACTTTTGTATCGTATTACTGTATAGAACGTGTACTGCGACAAAGTGATGATGACATGGTTGTCTATGTTTCACCTTCCAAGGCACTTTTGAATCAGGTACTTGTCATGAAATTTAGTTGGGCTGCAAATTGGATCACAGTTCATTGTCTATATACATTTATTGGGAATTGTCGCACACTCATTTTTTGCAGTTTCGTTCTGTTCATAAGTAAATAATTGTAGGTTTGTGGTTCAGTGTACGCTCGTTTTCGTAATAAAACTTTAAGTGGTGGAAAATCGCTGTTTGGGACACTTCTGTTGGATCATTCTGACAATCCAATGAACTGTCAGGTAAACATTTTATTTCCAGTATTTTGGGTGAATGTAGAGGCAGGCAGCCGATCATTGCTGATTCATGCTGTTCTTCCAGATTTTTGGCCTACTACGGTTACAGAAGGTAAACTCAATCGATTTTGATTTAATTGGTACCACTTATTTACATCTGCTTACCATATTAAATCTGCAAGTGCAGTGAAGTGTTGTCACTGAGTTATGGTCAGTTTCAGGTGCTCATCACTATTCCAGAGTGTCTCGAAAACTTGCTTCTGTCAACGAATCCAATCGTACAGGCAGTGATCAGTAAAATTAAATATGTCATATTTGATGAAGTGAATGGTTTTCCAACTTTTGTATTAGATGTTTTCATTGTTATGACTAAAAATCATCTTCAAATTTCAAATTTGAATCCTATTTGAACTTTTCCTACATCAGAGTTAATGTAAAGGATGATGAAGAATGAAAGTAACATAGTAGCTGGCAATGTAATAAAACATCGAGGTTAAATTTCTTTTGATGGATTTTTAGGTTCACTGTATTAGCGCTTCCCCAGATGCCCATGTTTGGGAACATCTCCTGCTTCTCATTAGATGCCCTTTCCTTGCCCTCTCAGCTACTATCGGTAATGCAACAGTTCTTCATCAGTGGTTGCAGTCCGCAGAGGAAAGTAAAAATGTACGAGGAACACCTTTAAGAGAGGTTTGCTTTTTAATTATTGCTAAAATTTTTTAATTATTAAATTCCCTTCGAGTGTTTAAAATATCAAAACTTCAGATTTCTATTATCATGGACATTTTAAGTACCGTTATTTCTATATTCTTCTCAACCTCCATGGTTATGCATCGGGATTTCGTGCAAACCGCGCTTGTGATTTCAGGTTGAACTAATCACATATGGTGAAAGGTACTCGGAATTGGAACTTGCCGTGCAGCGGATTAATCCAGCGATTGATACGATAGCTCAAGATGGAAACGTTGTGAACTCAATGGTTGAGCACTTTATGCCATATGGTGTGTATAAACCGGTGAAGTTATCGATGTTTGGAATACCTGCTGATCAGCAGTTAACTGCGAGACAGATCCTTGATTTATATTATGCTCTTGCCGAAGTGGATCCTGTAGTCAAGTAAGTTTTTTCTTTTCTCAAATCCATAATTCACAATTTGCGCTATAAAAACATGAAATATAATCTCCGTAAACGAACTGTGCATCTTTACCTTTCTTACAGGGAAGAATTTGAAC